ATATTCCCTATGAGCAATGCAAAAAGCACCAAGCCCAGGATGGCAATGACTATGGCGAAATCTATTTCTCCAACATAGGTGCTCGTCATGAGATTTTGTCCGATGGAGCTGCAAAAATATATTTTGAAAGAAAAAGAGTTAATTTGCAAGAGCTACCGCAAGGCGCAAACATAAGAGTTATTTCAACGTAAACATACAAGTGCATTTAAATTTATCAGTTTTATGGCGTGCAGTAATGTGATTATTATCCTGCATTGCAATTTTTTCGAAAAATTTTGCACAAAAAGGTTTGCTCAAAAGTTTTACGCTATTAAGAATAAAACACAGGATTAACATAGATGTTACCTCAGATTTCTCAATCCCCACCAGAGACAATAGGAGTATTTATTAAGGAAGCTTGACATTGTAACTCCATAAGTCAATGCATCACCATAAATTCCGAAGTTGTAGAAATCGCTTCTAGGATTACATAGTTTGGAGATGTTGCTTGATATAAACCATGCTATCCGATCAGAATCAACACTTGTTCGACAGTCAAAATAATAGTATTGGCATTTTGGTTTCTGAAGATCGCAAACCATTTTCCAGCACTGCTCTTGACGCTCGATTGCTAGCAGATACCAGCACGAACCAATGACCTTCATAGATCAGAGAAAAACTTGATCACCTAAGGATTTTGTCCTAGAAGAAAATTAAATAAATAATGCAACACAGACAGATGTTACAGATTAAACTCGAATTCCTAGTTTCAAAAGCAATATTAATAAGAACATGGGCAAAGCGCGCACGGACTAAATAGTGGTTGAGCCTTAATGTGAGGACTGCGTCCACTTGCCATATAGGTTTTCACTATAATGGAGAAGAAAAATCCAGGGCTTTCACTCACATATTTGACGCCAAAACAAAAAAAAAAGGGCCTCCTAAAAATCCCTTTTATGAAGGATATTAGGGCAACATAATACAAATATGAATACCCAATATATCCGGATCCACAATTGAGAGGATAAGTGTAGAATAATTAGGCTCCATACAATCATACGAACAATAGAGGATCAGAAACTGACTTCATCCTCTGTAACAATATGTTATAAGATTCAACAATCCAGAAAAGCAATTTTGCTAAGAAATGTTTCGAGCCATACAATTACTATATCCTATCAGGAAATTGTTGAAAGTTATCAATTAAAAATTATTCAGCATTTAGAAAAATGAATCCCGCCTTCTAATTTTAAAAATGAAGGATTTAAGTAAGCAAACTTACATGGCTTGCCAGCATAAAGAGCATAAGATTATAAGCTGCACCAGCCCATGCAGCTTCCACCATAACCCCCACAGTGCTGATGATTTTAGATGAGAGGGGGAAAATGAGATACAGTCTCAACAGGAACTGAAAAAGGACAATAAGGCGCAGGGTATGTTTTCCAGTAATCGCATTCGAACCCCTCATAGATGGGATTGCAGCCCAAATCAACACCTGAGAATTGTCAACTTCATCAGCTATTAAAAATAAATTATTGTAGATTTATGCAAATATGTGATAATGCACAAAGCACAATATCATGAGAAATGGCTGTTTAACAAGGATGGTGCTTGTAGTACCTGTGGAAGGGGTAGAGCTGCCAATAAGTCGAGCCAAAAGTCTTTACGAAGATATCTTGAAGCAATCTTTGAGGAATCAATAACCAGTTCTCCCCTCCCAATCACACGAGAAGAAGGCGCAACATAAGCTGTTCTAAACCGTACAAAAATCTGAATCATATAAAGAGCATCAACTACTGAACGAATGATGGTGAGATCTATCTTTAGGGGAATGCTTGCTTGCAGGCACATGTCCTCCTTAACACTCGGCAAGTAAAAGAATAGGGGGTCGACAAAAAGGGAAATGAGACATGAGACTAAAAAACATTTATTCCATTGGCTTAGAAAAGGTCCTCGTGGATCTAATATCTTCTTCTGCACTATCTCGTAGTCCTCGGAGAATACCCTTGAAAGTTTCTTATCCTGAAACGGCTTGTTTTTTGCACAAATCTCAGCATTCTTTGGGATAGACTTGAGCATTTCTTTCCCCACTTTCGTAGTGGTGAAGATCATGAAATTTCCATTTCTTGGTGGTGCAGATTCTTCAGTTTCTAGGTCATCTTGGAATCTGACAACCAATACAGACTTGGTTTAATTGTGGACTTGAAGAGGGATACTTTTGACTCAAAAAAGAATACAAATTAAACTTTCAAAAATTATGTGCAACTTGTTCTTGTTGTCCTACCATGCCAACCACTTCACACTTACATTATACATTGATCACTATTAGCATGTTTTATAGAGGATCAGATAGCACCACGAAAAAAAGAAGGCTAAATTCTTGTTCATTATGTTGTCAAATAGTGCACAGTTTAGCAACTGATGCAAAGACAAGACGAGGATATTTGGACAACCTTACAGATTTGGAACAGGCAAAGCTTGCAGAGCTCATTGTCGACTGCTGTCGCTTTAAATGTTGAGTTATCCTGCAACACATTGGCAGAGGCAAGTTAGCAACATTGCTGCAATGACTTAATCCCAAGCATCCGTAGAATTCAGAATTGAATCACACCAAAACGAGTTCATGTCATCAAAAGCAAGTGAAAGGAATCAAAACGCATCAAAAGATAAGTCGTCATCTCTTTGAACATAAATGGAATATGTCAACCATCTCATCTAAAAGATAAATTTGCTACAGAGGGGCCAATTATATTCGTTTTGTTTACTCATAACACTGAAAAGGATTCAATTCTAGGATTCTATTAATAACATGCATAACAATTGACAGTTTTTGCACACTACCATAATTTATTTTCTCTTCGAAGGATCAAAGGAATTTTTTGTGTGCTAAGCTGTGTTCGCTTCAAAAGTGAAAGTTGGGCTCCTCTTCCTTTGTTGCTTTTGTACACCAGGGCCTCAAAATTATAGCAAATATATAACTGAATGAAGTGGAAAGTTTTAAAAGACTGTAATTATGTAAACTAAACGCGAAGCAAAGACCAATTTGATTCATATAGTAAGTGTCATGTAGAGAATAAATCAGGACTAAAAAATAAACCTCGCTGATCTAATGTAACCAGTTGTTGCAATCTTGGACGGAATTCCTCATCGAGAAGAAAAAACTAACTTCAAATTTTTCAAAATGTGATAATAATTTGCTGCGTCTGAGAATGGGACCTTTGACATATTTAATTTGCATGGTAACATTACAAGACGACAAAAGTTGGCATAAATAAAAAAGAGTGGGCAGATTGTGCTTTTTTGTCTGTCGTTTGAACACAAATCCCTCCTTATGTTTACTTGAACACAGTTCTTGTTTTTGTCTACTTGAACTCTATATTGGAGCTTCAATTGTTCTTCACCTGGGGAATCTTATGAAAAGGTACTCGAGACTCGTATTATCTGTGGAAAATTTACAACATAATATGGACAACGGGGCTGGAATCTTTTTTTTAAGATTATACCTAGACTTAAGTAAAGACAGAAAACAGGATCCTGTCACTGGAATCTCAATTCAACGTAGAGAAGTGTACAATTGTATTGAATAATTACGTTTTCACCCTTTATTAAGTCACTTTTGCATCCCAAAACTGATGTATTGTCATCACTGAAGGCTTGAAGATTCACAATGGATTCAAATCTTGCATCAGTTATTCCCATTGCATTATAAGCTTGTGTTCTTAGATCCATGAAATGATAATGTTCGTGCACATCCATTTGATCAAATTTCATTTTTGACAGGCCATGCGTTTGTCCAGCCATCAAAAAGTTAAAATGTAGCAGTAAAATAGGTATCAGCAGAGACTTGGGAGGGCTCTACCTGGATTGGGTCAAACCTGTGCTACACAATTTACATCTCTAGCTGTAGCCAGTGCTCTGAACAATCAACCAACAGTAAATCGAGCAATTGTATGGTTCTATATGTTCTGAGATAAATGAAGTTGGATAAACTCTCAAGACTGGCACACTAGCCTCCACATGGAGACTCAAGATTATGTCAACAGAATTAAGTAGCGTCCAGGCAGCATTAGGACAAAAACCTGCATAATCATATTCTAAATCATACAATTCTTCATATCAAATACATCTGAAAGCCAAATGATCAAAAGATAGTGTATTCCACCAAAAGTGACAGGCCAGAATTACAAAGTGGTCATCTTTGCCGGAGGACATTCAAAACATACATTGTGATCTCAATACACTATCTGTCTGGTTAGTATAGATGCGTGTCAGATCCAAAGTTGCAACTTGAGTCCGGGTAGAAAGTTCTTCCAATCAAAATCATTCGTCAGCTTCAGTTCCAGGTGCAGCTGTCACTCCTATACCTCTGATAACAGAATTATAGAGGAAAGAAAAAACTGAGATATAGTTAGGACTTGCAGGTTCAACAAGACGATAAAAAATTGAAGCCTCAAATCTTTAACATAGGACTTGCAGATTCAAATAGTAAGCTTCTGTGCATTTAAGCTGGCTGCTAGTATGGAATAAACAATTTCAAAGAAGTTAGATACATACCTTGAGCTTTTATCCATTCATGAAAATTTCAGCAATTAAAACTGACGTCTCGGACGAGCTTCAGCAGGGCTAACTCGAATTGACCTGCCATCGAGGTCCTGCAAAAAAAGATATTTCAGAGTCATTTTTTGATAAACACAATATATAACATTGCTGCCCAAGCTATAAAGATACTTTGACAAGTTGATATTGTTATTACATTTGAATTAATTTCTTTTTAGTTACGAAATTGAGATGTCTCCCAGCATATGCATGTTTGCAGGTGTGTTTTCAATATAGCCCCTGTTTGAAATCCTTTAATTTAATTTAATTTATTTCTCATGCTCATTTTCAACAACACACTCACACAATAAACTATTTTACACGTAAACCCAAAACTTTTTCCTAACTTTTTAACCACACATTCTCCAAAAAAAATACTATTCAAATAAATGTTTTTTTTAATTTTAAGGATGTCAAACAGGGGCATATATTGTTAATCCATATCCCTGGCCTCTTCAGTCAAGGCTGCTTCCATTTTCAGGCAAGATATGACCTTGTAGTACTCTCAACCATCCATGTCCTAGTGAGTTGCAATTCCTTGCTACGCCGAAATAGTATAATGTCTGGTTCGGTGGGTTTGCAATTTAAACATCAGGCTAAACTGGGTTTAGTTGCTAGCTATTAATTTTACAACGTGTATAAACATACATTTCAGGATGTAAAATCTATGCATGCTTACATATGTGAATAAAGGAGCAAGTAATATTGGCTCGAGAATAAACGTACCATGCCATCCAATGATTCAACTGCATTGTTGACCTCATCAGCAGAACTGTAAGTCACGAACCCAAAACCCCTTGATCTACCACTCTCTCTGTCATAAACCACCTTGGCCTCCATAACCTTTCCTTGCTCACTGAACAAGGTTTCAAGAGCAAGATTGTCAACTCCCCAAGCAAGGTTCCCAACATAAACTCTGTTCCCTTGATCGGAACTTGTTCCTGATCCTCCCCTTGGTCCTCTGAATGAAGAATTTTCCCCCTTAGGAGGTGGAGGTCCATTATTCACTCTCAGTTGTCTGCCCTCAAATTCCTGATGAACAAGGCAATTCTTGAATACTATACTCATTTTGAATAAACAAACTCAAGACTTGATGAAAAAGTAGCATAATGATACGATTATATTTATAACAATTAAAAATTTAAAATATAGATACAACTTCATATGTATACAATCTATAGAAGCCTACGCATTTCTGTACCCTTAAGTACCATAAATGCTGGAAAACTTACATATCCATTGAACTGTTGAGCAGCACTTGCAGCTTCCTCTGCAGTAGACATTGTAACAAAACCAAACCCTCTGCTTCTTCCTGTAAGCTTGTCATAGATAACCTGCAAATTTCACTACTTAGCTGACAATCCATCATCACAAAAGGAAAAGAAGCGACTTATTTTTTCACTATAGGTTAACAGATGAACTGGTAAAATAAGTAGCCCTGCAGTCAAATATAAGAAAATTTACATGCATAGAATGTACATAATCCACTCGATACACAAACACAGGGCCTTCGATAAGCATACATCTATCCCATTAATATAAACAGAAATTGAAAATTCAACACAGACGCAAAGTAAGAAAATCAATTGCTTGGCATGACTAAAATCTCAATTCCTGAAACCCCATCCCTAGTCTATTTATAATTTCAAGAATCTAAGCTAAACATTGTATTTTCAAACAGAATAATAAAAAAACAAAGAAAAAGACTCAAAAAAGGAACCATTTTCCCTCACAGAATACTTTACCATCATAGAAGCTGGGTGTATATTAAAAGAACATAAGAAGAGATGTAAAATTACCTCAACCATCTCAACATTTCCGGCTCGTTCAAACAAGCCTGCTAGAGCAGCACTGTCAACATTGAAAGGCAGATTTCCGACAAAAAGCTTAAGGTCAGGCGAAAAGCTGGGCTCCTCTGGGCTAGAGAAATCAAAGCCAGCATTCTCTACTCCCACTTCTTCTTCCAACTCGCCCAAAGCAGAAGATACGGCAACTTTTCTCGCAAATTTAGAAGTGGGCTCACCATTACAATTTTTAGAGGAAATTGATATGGTAAGTTTCGGAAGAGGTTTAAGAGATGAGGGAGTAAAATGTGGGAAAGAATAAGCCGTAGATGAGTGGCGGGATAGTGAGAGGGTTTGAGGGATAAGGTGAAGAGACGAGGCAGAGGCAGAGGCAGAGGCAGCCATTGCTGTGCTTGTATTGAAAGAAGATAAGGTTTTTCCCTGCCTTTTCCCTTCTTGAAATAGGGTTTTGAAGTGATTTTAGGAGTGAAGAGTGTAGATATTTCAGAAAAAATGTGCGGATACTATTCGGATAAGGGCATAGGGCTTGTTTGTTTTTCTCATCCCCACTTGCCCGCCCTCCTGTTGGCCATTTTACTCCATTTAATTAAAAAATAATTATATTTTTATTTTTATGTATTTTAATTTAAATGGTATTTAAAAAATACAAAATATTATTACAAAATAAATAACTAATTAAAACGGATAATAAATGAGATTTTTTTTTAATCTCGTCTCTGGAAATTTTTTGACGATGCAAAGATGGATCTTAGATTTTCAATCCTTTTTTAGTTGTTCAAATTGCCCTTTATATAGACCTTTTTAGAGATTTTTTGATTATTTTTATGAGTTATCATCCTTTTATGATTTTGTTGAAAGTCATGAATAAGTTCAATTTTCAAGATTTTGTTGACATTTGTGCTTCGTGGCATTTATCATGTAATTCGTTGTGTGCACGCGTGAGTTTATTGTACTTAACTCAATATTGATTGTACGATATTTTGCACTAACATTTTTGCTCATATCCAAGACTTGGTTCGAGGCCTTGGAGCCTTTGGGTGGTTGAAGCCTTCAATTACGTTTTTGGCCAGTATTATGATTGTACACATTTTCTTACTAAACGGTGCTTTGGCCAACCAATACATATCTTGCTTCAATCGAGCCCTCGGTGGCCGAGATGCTAACATTCAGAGACATAAGCATACAATGAGTGACTTACATGAAGTTCTGAAGATAGGTGGACAAGAGTTGCTGAAAATGGTGAATGCTGCCAAAGCCAAGACACAGGTTCACTCACATGTCCTCACCCAAGCCAAAATATCCAAGAAAATATCTTTACAATGGTATTAGCAACCACCACTACAAAGAACAAAATTATCCAAAAGAATAATGATAATTGATATACTAAAATAGCCAAAAGAACATCCAAGATTGCACACCAAAGCTCATATAATTTATTTGAAGTTTAAAAACGTACTTCCAAACTCGACTCAACTTGACTCGATTCAGACAAATAGCTAAAATATAAACAAGATTTTATAAAATAATTAGCTGGATTTTACTATTTTTTCTAGTAAGAACCATCTCAAAAATCAAACCATCATAATAAGTATGTTAAGAGTGTGAATTTTAAGCTCATCCAAACCTTATGTTTGTATGAGAGAAAAATATCTACAGACATTCCAACAATGGAGATACAAACAATTTATTAACTACGTTGTTGTCAATCTAAAATTCACGTCGAATACGTTGAGAGCTCCCCTTAACTTGGTCAAAAAGTCTACCAGCTAAAGAGTTTAGACATGTCAGTTCGGATCCCTAACCCAACACTCCATCAATAGAAGTCGAGGTCGGACTATGTGAGATATCATATAAAGACATCATGTTGATAGAGAAAATGCCCCCTCTTGATGACAGTACTAACCAATTAGAAGGATGACTCAATGGCTTAGGACACATGTCTAAGACCCACGTGTCCTCTTGATCCTTCACAACCGAATTTACCAACCAATCAAATTCCTTCAAATAGATGGTAGCTCACATCCCTAGGTCGAACATTGTAACTTGACATGACTAGGATGAAAAGCATTAATCCATATATAATGGGGCAAAGAGGAATGAAAGGTTGAGTCTTAACCGAGATTTTCTCTGTACAGTTACAAAATTTAAATTCAAGCATTATAACACCCTTATTTAATTTAGAATAGGAGGCCAATCCTAACCAGTGGCGAAGCCAGCATTGAAGTTCAGCCCAGGGGGACTTTGATCGGTCAACATCGACAATCAGAGATCGTAAGAGCGAGGTCGTTTATTAATATTTAATTAAATAATATTAAAAATTATTCAAGATATATGTAAACGCATTAATACGTAAAAATTATATATATATCAAAACGTAATTCAATACAACCAAAAATACTAAAGAAATACGCAATAAAAACTTAATTCACATTTATACGTGAATTAAGTTTTTATATTTGAAAGTGATATGTTGTAGGGAGGATGATAATTTATTCATTAGATAATTGGGCTAATAATATTATTTTGGCTTGTGTATCCAAATTTATTTATTTTGTATCTATTGGTTTATGAATTGCTTGGAATTATGATCTAAGANAATTTATTTATTTTGTATCTATTGGTTTATGAATTGCTTGGAATTATGATCTAAGACTTTCGTAAAAGATGGTTATTTGTGTATAAAATCATAATATTTGTTGCCTGAATGGGGTCAATAAAAACTTTTAACGATTAATTAATAATTCATGGTCAAATACATTTTTGCTTCCAATAAATTTTAGGACTACATGAATGTTTTTTCGCTAATTCAATTTGGAATCTTCAAAGTAGTGAATTAATTAAAAATATTGAATTATATATTTAACCATACATCATATTCCATATTTTACGCAAGGAAGTGAAGAAAAATGATTCGGTCCAATTTATTAAGAATGTAGTTGTTGGCATCTCAATTTTGTGATATTTTATAGAGGAAATTACAAATAAACAGGTGTTTAAGTTCTCCAATTCAAAAATCAGGTGTGAGATTTATATAATCAAAAATCAGGTATTAATTAAATTATTAATAATATTATAAAATTTACCCACCTCAAACAAACCCTAAATTATTTCCCCCAAACTGAAAACCTTGAACCCGAAATGAATTCCCGCTCCCTTTCCCTTTCCCTCTNATGATAATTTATTCATTAGATAATTGGGCTAATAATATTATTTTGGCTTGTGTATCCAAATTTATTTATTTTGTATCTATTGGTTTATGAATTGCTTGGAATTATGATCTAAGAATTTCGTAAAAGATGGTTATTTGTGTATAAAATCATAATATTTGTTGCCTGAATGGGGTCAATAAAAACTTTTAATGATTAATTAATAATTCATGGTCAAATACATTTTTGCTTCCAATAAATTTTAGGACTACATGAATGTTTTTTCGCTAATTCAATTTGGAATATTCAAAGTAGTGAATTAATTAAAAATATTGAATTATATATTTAACCTTACATCATATTCCATATTTTACGCAAGGAAGTGAAGAAAAATGATTCGGTCCAATTTATTAAGAATGTAGTTGTTGGCATCTCAATTTTGTGATATTTTATAATAAAATAAAAAATATTTCTTCATTGTTGCCCAAAACAAATGGCCCAACCCAATTACAAAATAAAAAAGGGGCCGCCCATTTTCAGATGGCCCAATTACAAAAAAAAAAAAGGATGGGCTAGGCACCTGCTGCGGCCCAAGTTAAAAAAAAAAAAACAAAAGCGCAAGGAAGAAGACGAACCAGAAGGTAGAAATCCAAAGAATCAGGCGCCGTTGCGGTCTCTCTCTTCTTCCAAGAACTGTTTCAACGGAGCCCAGCACGTGCGGCTGTGCCCCTGGCCGGATGCTGGGTCCGCCGCTCATCCCAACAATGCAGAATGCGTTTCTCACTGTCCACGGTTGCCAAGAATATGTATGTTTCTCCTCTCTCTATCATTCTTAACAATGTTAAGTGTTTTTGTTAGTTATAAGTGAAATTCTTGGCTCCTATGTACCTGTAAGTAAATTTTGTAATTCAATTTAACTTCGCTTTCTTAATTGGTAAATTGATGAATAAATAATATAGCCTAAAGAAACCCCCATATAGCATATTTTATACGGTTGGACTATATTAATCTTAAATTAGTAGGCATGTTGTACGTCTAAGGCGTCCAATGCATATTTCACTGTAAAAAAATATAATTAGTCCTAGCCAACAATTTCAACTTCAGAAGTATTATTTGGCTCGAAAACCCTCAATACATAATACTTTTGAAATTGCATTTTAGTACCTCATTTATAGGAATTTCAAATTGGTCCTGAAACTTGCAAAAATTGCAACAATGCTTATAAACCTCAATTAATAAAGTCTTCCTCAAAATTATACTTCTATCAGAAAGAAATAAACATGTAAATTTTGCTAAATTGCAGTTTAATCCTTCAACTTTTCAAATATTGTAGCTAAGTTCCAAATTGCATATTCGATAATCAACTAACTCATATTATTACCACTAAATCTTTATTTCACCATCCATTCAATTGAGTCTATTCTCCAAAATTTCCATTTTGATCCCTCAATAACTGAAATAATTCAATTTGATTCTTAAGTTCTCAAACTTTGCACTTAAGTCCCGATGAGAAAGTTAGGATTTTACAATAGTGGCATGATGATGATGGTTATGGTAGCACAATGGTATGGTGTGATGGTGGTAGATGACACTGTGGTGGATTTGGATAGACGGTGTAGCAATAGAGTGATTAGTTTGTAAGACATAAATTACGTACCTTCAGCTATTTTATCCAAGATCTAATTGAAGAATCAGCAATAGAAATGAGTCCTCAAAGTACCAAACGTCTTCGAGTCAATATCCACTTAATAACCCCTTTAACTTGATGGAAATAAACACAAGACTTTCAATATTAAGAAATAAATTCTGCGGGGATTTTTCTTAGGTTTGGCTAGGGATCCTTTGGTATTAATATATAGACAACCACCAAACAATTTCCATTCATCATGAAAGTGGGTGGTTTTTTCCTACAATAGCTTTCCTACAATAACCAAATTGGAAGTTATCTAGACACTTAATTAACTCATTGATGCGAACTCATGTAGCAATTGTAGCTACGGAACCCACAACAAATTAGAACAATTCAAGAAAGTCAATAATCAACGTTTGAAAAGTTCGACCCAATAAATTATTGAATCAAGACAATTGCTAACAATATTTTGACCCGTGATCACAAAATTTATGAACCTTACTTTGAATTTTTAGAACGACACAAGAATGTAATTTTTGATAAATTCAAAATTAAAACAATGAAGAACGAGAATAAAGCAATTTAGCCTCACGATAGTAATCTCAATA